GAGCGGCCACTCGCTGGGTGAATCAGCCTGAGACAGAAAAGAAGTGTCAGCAAAGCAGCCTGGTCAGGAAAAGATCTCCTGAACCTGCCACTCATCAGCACAGAAACATCTGCCACAGCAATACCATTAGCCTTTCACTTGTAAGAAAATTCTCTCCAGTTATTTCTGTATCAAGGGCCTCTCCAGTTTGGAAAAGCAGCTGCGCTGGGAGATGGAGGAGTTTTACTTTCTGCTCTGCTGTGTAAGGGGTCTGGACAACAGTGCAAGAGAACACACTCCTGACCCTGGAGGAAGTTAACTGCTGCCCAAATGTCAGTGCCCTGTGTAAGGGAGCAACATTCTCCTTTGGAGAAGGAGGAACTTAAAGGGTGAGCTGAGATTTTCTATAGAGATCTCTGACTTATAGGGCAAGGAAGGGGCTCTGCTCAAGGCTCGTGCAGGCAGAAACAGAGACCAGTATCACTGCCAGCCCTAAGCATCGTGAGGATAACCTGGGATCTGAAATTAGGATGCTGTTCCATAGACTAGGAAATCCCAACCCATGAACTGAGAAGGATTACCGTCCAGTGATCCTCCGGATCAGCAAGGAGTCAGGGATGCTGAACTCAATGACGGAGTCGAGCTTCTCTCTCCTTTTCTCCAGGAGCTCATCCAGCTGCAACAGCAAACACCCACCTCAGAGGGGCTGAGGGAGCAGGGACCCCTGGTTTTGAGGGAAGGAGGTGCTGGAGCAGCCCCCCAAGCAGGGGCTCCCATACCATCTCTGCCTGTTTCACCGTGCGGGGGAAGCCATCCAGGAGGAACCCGTTCTTGCAGGGAGGGGAGTCCAGGTTGTTCTCAATCAGCTCCACCACCATCTCATCACTCACCTGCAGAGATGAGACAGGTATGTTATCAGGAAGGACATCCTGAATTTACACACAGCTGCTGCCCTTGTGCTCTCCTTTCTGGAGTTGTCCTGTGCAGGGCCAAGGGTTGGGCTCGATAATTCTTGTGTGTCCCTTCCAGCTCAGGATATTCTGTGATTCCATGATTCATGTCAATGCTCAGGCTGCCTGTTCAGACCTGCCCACATCAGGGCAGCACTCCCTGCAACACTAGGACATAGGCAATGCCACATTTCACTCCAGGGACACTCCAGCCTGCGCAGGGACTTGGACCAGCTCTGTAACCTCACTGTTACAAAGGTTGCTGTACTGCAAGGAACACTGTCAGCTCAAACTCCTTAGATTATTGTATTTTTTCAAAGCCAAATCACAATACAAAATATCAACAGAACCTTGATTTCCTGTTACTTTGTACCTTCACCTACACATCCCCCTCGGGAGGCAGGCCCGGGCAGGAAGGGCAGAGCAGCGAGTTGCTCATTGACTCCCATAAACCTCGTATGAAGGTAAAAGCCCAGTAGTTGCTGACAAACTCTGGCTTCACTGGATAGTTTTTTCCCATCTGACAATCTCAGCATACCACTGGGATTAGAGCCTTTTCCACACTGCAGCACTCACGGATGCTGCAGCCCCAACAATAGCTGTTTATTTGGGAGCAGCTCTGTTTTCTCCAGCACACACAGCTCAGCTGGGACCCAGCAGGATTGGGGACCAGGCTGTCACAACACACAAACAACAGCCCTGCAGTCAGGGAGGGGGTAAGCAACAAGTCACTTCTGTGCCTTCCTGATTACACCCTTTGGAGAAAAAAGATCCTGAGCAGAAACCCCATCCTGAAACGCTGCTGTGCTCCCAGCTGAGTTATCACAGAGCTGCGTGGAGCTGCCTGCCACATACACACACACACGTGGCAGATACCACCAGCCTGGCCAGATAACGTCCCTATCTTTCATAACCAGCTGGGTATTGCAGGCTTGGTGTTGCAATGAGCTCTGAGCAGAAGTGAGATAACGCTGCTCTCCCCATCTGGGGCCTGCACATTCTCCCCAGGGTGTTAGGAGCCCGTGGCAGCCGCAGTGATGCTCAAGATCTGCCCCACATTGGGGCAAGTCACTGCAATTTGTGGTCCCTTGAGTTTCCCTGAGATACTTCAGTTGTCAGGATGAGATAATAAGACCCTCAGAAAATGAATGTCAGAGATTCTAACTCGTGTCTCTTGGGGATTCAAAGGATCTCTCTCACACAGCAGTTGCTTTAACTACCACAGCAACACCTTTCGGTTTATTTTCACCTTATAGTTACAGGTGAATCGAGCTTATGCAAGAGCTGGGATGCAGATGAACCCTCTGGAGTGACAGGTGGAGCTCAGGTATCAGTGAGGAGACACCTGCAGCTCCAAGGATACACTGTCATCTCAGTGTTCAGGAGCCAGAAAATTGCCACCCAGACTGCATCCCCTAAAAGATAACAACAACAACCCAGGGCCACAGGCTGCTGGTAAGCAAATAGTAATTTTGAAGAGGAAGGATGTTTGTATAGGATGCTTCTCCTGCAGGGTGATAGAAGGAACGCCCCCACTCCATCCCTACCTTCACCCTGCAATCCGCCTTCCTACACTAATTAGAGAATTCTAATTAGAAGGTGAATTTTGTCTGCTCTCATTCCAGATGCTGCCAGCCCTTGTCCCCTCCCAGCACATTCCCCACGACCCACCAGCTTCCCCGAATCCATCGTCTCCTTGAGCCGCTTGCCCAGCTCGGAGCCCGAGGCCACCATGGCCCGCAGCATGTCGCCGGTAGCCAAGTGGCACACGCAGTAGGTCTCGGCCAGCTTCGGGGCCTGCGGAAGAGGACAGAGGTGTGACAAAACCTCAGAGGCTGAGGATGCCCGGCCCGGCCGGGCTTTGTCCCCCTCTCGCGACAGCGGGACAGTCGTTGACCGGCCAGCACGTGGCAGGGCCCGGCACGGAGCCCCGGAGCTCAGCGACACCGGCTCCCCGCGGCCGGGACAAAGAGATCCGGGACAAAGAGCCCCGGCGAGCGGGGCCCTGGAGGGGGGATACAACCGAACCCCCATGGCAGGGAGCCCCGGAGCCACACACCGCACACCCCGATCGCCCCCGCCGCGGCCAACGCAAGGCCGGACACCCGCGTCCCTGCACGCCGGGGGTCACACGCTGAGCGCCGGCAGCGGGGAAAACCGAGCGGGCCGCTCGCACCGGCCGCTCCCGATCGCATCGCCCTCACCTGCGTGCCCTTGCCGGCGCCGGGCGGGCCCAGCAGCACGGCGCGGATGCCGTGGCGGATCCCCGCGGCCGGGGCCTGCCCGCGGCCGCCCCCAGCCTGCGCGCTCGGAGCCATGGCCGCCACCGACTGCGCGCCCGGCCCGCGCCTCGTGGGCGGGACCACGCCGGCTGGGCGGCGCCATGCAAATTAGGGGCGGGAATATGCAAATACGCAGTTGTTTTGTATGGAGTGGGCGTGGTTGTGGGTGGGCGTGGCTTTGTGGCGCCACGTGGGTCGCTCGGTGTCACCGCGCTTGGCCCGGGTTGTCCCCAAGTCCTGTGCGCTGCTGGGGCCGAGCTTCGAGTGCTGAGTCCACTTCTGGGTCACTCAGTTCAAGAAGGACACATTGAGCTGCTGGAATATGTCCAGACAAGGGCAACGGGGCTGCAGTACAAGTCTGATGAGGAGCGGCTTGAGGGAGTTGGGGCGGCTGAGCAAGGAGAAAAGGAGGTTCAGGGGTGACCTTATCTGCATCTACCTGAAAGGATTTTGGAGCCGGCTGGGGGTAGGGCTTGCCTTCCAGGCAGCTAGTGACAGCACAAGAGGACACAGTCTAAAGCTACACAAGGGGAGGTTTAAGTTGGACATTAGGAATTTCTTCACAGGAAGATTAGACATTGGAACAGGCTGCCCTGGGAGGTGGTGGAGTCTCCACCTTTGGAAATATTTAAAGAAAGACTGGACGTCTCACTTGGTGCTGTGGCCCAGTTAACACGGTGATGTCCGGTCACAGTTGGACTTCGTGATCTCAGAGATCTTTTCCAACCCAATTGATTCTGTCATTCTGAGCTGTGCTTGCCCTGGCGTTGTGGGATGGGCTCAGTGCCCTGTTTTGCGTGGGCTGTGCATCACACACAGCACTGCCCAGCACATCCAAGAGGGACTGGCACTGCAGGGCTCAGCATCTCTCTGCACTCCCAGCCTCTCTGCATGATCCCCACATCCCACACAGCACAGTCCAGTGCTGGTGATGGGCCAGAGCACAGGCAGAACCAGCCAGGATCTCACAGCAGACAAGAGTTTCCTTGGCCCTTGGTTGCCAGGAGAGTCTGTGGCAAAGCCAAGACCACAGTGTTGAATACAGAAACCCAGGAGAAGTCGATCCTTCTCACTCCCCCCTCAGTGGGGACAGCCACCTCTCCACAGACAGAACATTGGCTCCTCAGCAACATCAGAGAGCTGCACATTTAACAAGAAGAGTTAAAAAAACCCTGCTAAGCCCATCCTGTTTGTGGGGTGGAGCAGTGGCACCATTTCCAAGATCCAGGTCTCACGGAGCAGACACAGCATCTGCATTGATGGCAGAGCTGGATCTGCCCCTGGGGCACCCACCAAAACCAGCAGCAGCTCAGCAAGGGCAGGACGAGTCCCTGACATCTTCCCAACTACCTCCCCCTCTCCGGAGTCTCAGCCAAACAGCGCTCAGCCTTTAATCTGCAGGAAGCTTGGTTTCCCTGGCAGCAGCATTTCCGAGGTATTTCGGGCTCTCTTCCCCGCGAGGGTCCCCGTGCTCAGGATGCGCAGCCGCGGGAAGCAGGGCCGGGCTGCCAGGCTGGGGATGAGCTGCGGGGACTCGGTGAGAGCCCGGGGTGACTGCACGGGGCAGCCCCAGCCTTGGGGAGAGGGTGGGAGAGGAGGGGGAGCGTTCTCCAAAAGGGATGAAGGATGCTCGGAGGCGGCTCAGCCAATGGGGTGGCTGGATTTGGTTGTCATGGCTACGGGTGGGAGGCAGAGCAGGGAGGGCAGTGCTGGAAGAGAAGGGGTGCAGAGCTCCCCCAATCCTCTGCAGGGGCTCGGGGCAGGCAGGACAAACAGCCGGCCCTGGGGCCGGTTCATTCTCTTGGGAGACCCATGGCAGAATCTGTTTAAATGCTTTCTGAGGTAAGGGGGCTTTGGGGAGGGGCTCTGGGGGAGCTGTTTTGCCTGGCACAGTGAGAAGGGAGCTGTAGAGCTGTGGTTGCTCGGTTTGGGGATGGGGGTAAAGGGCATCGTGCTGGCAGTGCCCCTCTGCCTCTCTAAGCCCCTGCACTGCTTTTCCCCAGAGACCCCGGACCCCCAGGCACACCTTGGGCTGCTGCAGGAGCTCAGCATTCCTCGGGGAGCCCCCCTGACAGCACACCAGGACACCTGGGAGGGACAACTGGACCGTGGTAAGGAGGGGATATCGGAGACTGGGACAAGAGTTCTGGCAGGAATGACCCATTTATCCCTTCCATGTCTGACCAGGGTGGGCTGGCTGCTGTTTGGTGATGGGGAGTGAAGGTTAAAGCTGGAGGAGTGGTGGTGCTTGCTCAATTCATTACAACATCCTGTTGCTCCAGGGTCAGTGTGGTCTTTCTCCCAGTGCCCCCTGGAATGCTGTCAGGAGGCCTCTGTGGGGAGGAGGGCGTGTGCAGCTCTGAGAAGTGAAACCTCTGCCTCCTGCTCACTTCAAATCAGAGAGACCATGCTCCTGGAAGAGCCCTGGAGCTAGACCTGGATTATTGGAGTGGAAATGTTCCCTGCTAGCTCATCAGCTCCATGGGCTATGAGCCAGGCTGGATCCAGGACAGGAGATTGTTAAAGCTAGGGGTATGAGCTCAAAGCTAAAGCTCTGCTAGGATGAGCCAGAAAACTTTGTGCTGCTTGATTGTCCCCTTGTTCCATACCCTGTGTCACGGGAGAGCTGTGGAACTGCATCCACAGCACAGATGCAGGCTGCCCTGAGGTTGGACGGTGTCAGGGAGTGGTCTGTGCTATGCCTCCCTTCTCCTGGAGGTTTCCACTGGGAAAGTGGGTCCAGGAGACTTCAGCTGTTTGGAATCCATAGGGGATGTTCACCCCACTGAGCAGTCAGCAGATCCAGCTGCATTCCAGAGCGTGAAGGGGCCTGTCCTGGCCTAGAAAAGCATCTCTGCTCTTTGTGGTGCAGTTGGCTTTGTTGTTGACTGTGCTGGTGCCTGCTGATGGAGACAAGGCTGCTGTGTGCCAAAACAGAGCTCTGAACTGCAGAGAAATGTGTCTCCTCCCCCGGGGAAGATGCTGTAACCCACAGCAGGGCTCTGCTGAGCTGCTGGTTTGGAGCAGAGCAGCACAGAGCTCTACCCAGTGACACCCTGGGCTGGGTGGTCCATACTGATGGAGCTTCTGGACCCTTCCTCTAATATTCCTTTCCTTTTTACAGTGTGTCTCATCCTTAGAATCCATCCCCTACTCCAGGAGGCTTCAGAGCATCACCGCACCCAGAACATCCCACCATGAATGGGTACTTGAAGGAATCCAATTTCCTGATGGTGGAGGAAGGCTTCACCACCAGAGACCTCCTGGAGAACCTCCTGGGGGAGCTGTGCCAAGAGGTGAGGGCTGATGCTCTGCTGCTGCCTTTGGAAAAGGCCCTCCTGGAGCTGCTGCTCACTCCAGCTGTCTCCTAGAGCGAGCAGCAGGCATTCTTCGTGGCAGACCTTGGGGACATTGTGAAGAAACACCTGCGTTTCCTGAAGGCCTTGCCCCGAGTGAAACCCTATTTCCCAGTGAAATGCAACGGCAGTGAAGGGGTGATTCGGCTGCTGGCAGAGCTGGGGGCAGGATTTGCCTGTGCCAACAAGGTAGGGCTGTAGGAGGACAGCTCCAGGGGAAATGTTTGTGCAGGAGTGGGAGAGCTCACCCTCCTTTCCTAAGCCTCTGCTCTAGGTGACATTTACAGGGGCAGGAGTCTCCCTCTGCTGTCACAGCCCAGAAATCCTTGTCCCCTCTGTGCCGTTCCCTTTGGCTGACATTCCTGTCCCTGGAGCTGCTGTCCTGGCTGGTGGCACAGCCCATCCCTGGGGTGTCACTGCCACAGCTGTCCAACTCTTGGTGTCCTTAGGGCTGAGCCTGAATCTTTTTGCTCCCTCCTGCTTGTCATTTGCAACAGCCAGACTTCCAGGGAGGAGGCAAAATTAAATCACTTACCTTTATGTAATTAAAGAGGACGTGTTTTCCAGGAGGAGAAAGTGCAAGAGTTGTCACAGCTCAGAGCAGGGGTCAACCCCAGGCCTGCTAACCCCACTTATTTCCTCTCCCATTCTCATGGTGTTTTAAACCTGTCTATGCCAGGACAAAGTCCACTGTGATCCCTTTGAGCTCTGGTAGCTTTTCCCTGGAAAAGCCCAGACTGCAACACTGTCACTTTTCCCTCCTCAGCACTACAAACTAGACCCAGAGCTGGTGACTTGTCCACACCCAGCTCTTGGGGACCTGCTGCACGTGTCCCCTTCTCCCTGCAGGCAGAGATCAGCAGGGTTCAAGGCATTGGGGTCCCAGCTGACAGGATCTTCTACAGCAGCCCCTGCAAGCAGGTCGCCCACATCAGGTACGCGGCCACCCACGGCGTGAGGCTGATGGCCTTTGACAACGAGGTGGAGCTGAGCAAGGTGGCCAGGAGCCACCCCCGTGCCAGGTGGGTGTGTGGCAGTGCCACTGGAGTGGGTGCTGGAGGAGGGGATGGGCAGGGGGCTGTGGGGGGCAAGAGGAGGTTGTACAAAGTGGGTGTCAGTCTCTTTGCCCAAGCGATGGGACAAGAGGAAACGGCCTCAAGCTGTGCCAGGGGAAGTTTAGATTGGATGTAGGGAAAAATTTGGTCACTGAAGGGATAATCAGGCAGTGGAACATCCTGCCCAGGGAAGGAATGGAATCACAATCTCTGGAAACATTCAAAAGCTTTGTAGATGTGGTGCTAGGGACGTGGTTTAGTGCTGGACATAATAGTTTGGGTTAATCCTTGAACTCAGCAATCTTTGAGGGCTTTCCCAGCCCTCAAAGGCTTTTCCTTTCATGATCCTGATATTCCAAGACCCCTCAACACAGCGTGGCTTTGCTGTGCAGGCTGTTGTTGGGGATCACTGCTGACTCCATCCCTTCTGCCCACCCGAGCATGGCTTTTGGGACCACGCTGAAATCCTGCCGGCACCTGCTGGAGACAGCCAAGGAACAGGCTGTGGAGGTTGTTGGCATCAGGTACAGCCATGGGCCTCCTTCCATAGGAAGAAGATTGGGATCTGGGGAGCTTTTCCCTGGATTGGGATCTGGGGAGCTTTTCCCTGGATTGGGATCTGTGGAACTTTTCCCTGGATTGGGATCTGGGCAGCTTTTCTCCCCTCTGGATTGGGGATCTGGGTTGCTCTGCCCTGCTGGAACAATGCAGTGATCCAGCTGCTCTGCTTGGGAGGGAGGTGAAGGCAGGGATTTGACGTTGTTTGGACAAATTTGGGGCAGAAGTCTCTAAGAAAGGCTCAGTGGGGCTCTGTGGGTTTGGGATGGTGTGTGGTAAACTGCCCCCAGTGAGTGACAATCCCAGTGCCGTGTCCCCTCTGCTCTGGGGATGATCTAACCTTGCTGAGAGAAGCTCTGTGCCCTCAGCTTCCACCTCGGGAGCCGTGGGCTGGAGCCCCAGGCCTTGGCCCAGGCTGTGGCTGCAGCACAGCTGGTGTTTGACATGGGCACGGAGCTGGGACACCACATGCACCTCCTGGACATTGGAGGGGGATTCCCTGGCACCGAGGACACCAGAGCCCCTCTGGAAGAGGTACAAACCTGCCAACACCTCAACACCTGCCCTCAGCAGGCAGGGAATGAGCTTGGAATGATCCTCCCTGCAGAATTCCCAGCTAAACAAGAGGAAGGTTCTTTTTTCTTCCCTCACAGATCGCTGCTGGGATAAACTCTGCCTTGGATTTGTACTTCCCTGAGGGCAGTGGGGTGGACATTATAGCCAGGCCTGGGCGTTATTATGTCACCTCTGCCTTCACCTTGGCTGTCAGCATCACTGCCTTGGAGGAGATCCCCACGGAGCAGCCTGGCTCTGACGGTAGGGGTGACAGCAGGGTGTGTCCCCTGCATCCCTGAGCCTCTCTGAGCCCCCTCCCCTCTCCCTTGCAGAGGAAGAGTGTGGCAGCAAGAAGAGCCTGGTGTATCACCTCAGTGATGGCATCTACGGTGCCTTCAGCTGCCTCCTGTTCGACAGCCCCTGCCCCAGGCCCAGGCTGCACAAGGTGAGGGGCTCACCTGCCTTGGGGACACCCCAGCATGTCCCTCAGTGTGGCAGTGGTGCAGGAGTTTTGTACCATTAATTAGTGGTTTGGTTTAGTGGTTTTTTTTCTTTTACTTAGAGCTAGGATTAACAAAAACACGATAGAAAGGGATTTTCTCGTGTTCAGGCTTGGTTGTTTATTAAATCTTATCAGAAAGTACAATTTGACAGCACTTCCAGCTACTTGCTAGAAGTGAGGAAAAATGGAGAAAGATGCAGCTGCTACAAGGTCTCTTAATGTTAACAGTTCAATAGAGAATTAATACCTATATTAGTTATATTTTTGACTCCATAATTAGATTTTTATGACTTTTAGTGTGACACTGACTGACTAACTAGAAACTACTAGTTGAAACCCATGAAGAAAAAGGAAGAAAGAAAATGAACACAGAAAGAGACAACGCTTAAATTTTTTTTATATTGTCCCATGCTTATTACTATACTATAAAAACCTTAAATTTAAAACTCATCACTATGTGAAAACACACACTTTTGTTTAACTACACACTCGTGATTTTAACTCCATTATTCGTATTTAGAAGCCATCTCCAAGGCCTCAGGTCTAAAACAGTGTTCTCCAAGGGTTCAGTCCCTGAAAGAACAGAAAACCCAAACCCCCAAATTTCTGGCATCCAACAACCTCAGCCAACCCCATACCATAAAGTAAAGCTGCACCCAGCCCAGGGGCATCACTGTGACGCTGGAACATCCTCATCCCTGTGTCTGGGTGTGTTTTTTTTGGTTTTTTTTTCTGCAGAGACCCTGCCCGGAGCACCCCTGGCACAGCAGCAGCCTCCGGGGCCCGGCGGGAGGGGGCGAGGATCGCATCGCTGAGGGGCTGGAGCTGCCCCTGCTGCACGTGGGGGACTGGCTGCTTTTTGGGAACATGGGAGCCTACAGCATGCCCACATCACCCCTGCTCACAGCCGGTCCCAAACCACACGTCACCTACGCCATGTCCCGCATGGCCTGGTAAGAGATGGGCGAAGTGAGAGGGCAGGGCTGGATCCCCATGGGAGGATCTTCTCTTCCACCTGGGCTCTTAGCCCGAGGGAGAGGGGGGAAATCTGACTCCTAGAGCTTGGAAATTCGGGGAAAAATTCATGAGGCAAAAATCCTCATTTTTTAAAAGTTTTTTTTAAAATATTATTACAATTTTAATATTATTATTTCTCCAGTTTTTCACTGGAGAAAAGAGAGCCAGCTCACCTCTAGCTGTCATTCTAGGGGACAGGAGAGCCCTGGAGTGTCCCCTTCCCTATTCTCAAGGGGCTGCTCTTTCCCCTGGCTCCCCCTCGGGTGTCTCCAATTGCAGGAAAGCCATCCAGCTCTTCCAGGGAAAGCCACTCCAGACAGAAGACGACCGTGAGAGCCTCTGCACCCCTCTGTCCTGCGGCTGGGAGATGGCAGAGACACTTTGTGTCACCCCTGTCTTCGCTCCAGCTGGCATCATCTGAGCAGTGCTGGCACTGTGAGAGAAGGAGCCACGGTGGGAAAGGTCCTGTGGTGGTACTGGCAGGGGAAATGTCCCATAATGGTATCAGGGTGGGAAAAATCCTATGGCAGCAGCAGGGGAAAAGGTCCCACAGTGGTACTGGAGGGATAAAAATCCTACAGTGGTACCACAGTGGGAAAAATCCCATGGCAGCACCAGAAGGGAGAGGTCCTGTGGTGGTACCAGAGGGGGAAAGGATCCCATGGCAGTGCCAGGGAGGGGCAAGGTGCCCTCCTGCCTCTGGCATCGCCCTGCTCTGCTCTCACAGGCTTGGAATTAAATCCTGTCCCATAAATCCTGCTCCTCCAGCTCGTGCGGTGTGCGTGCCTTCCAAAGGGGTTTGGCAGGTTTGGGCTCTGTTTTCTAGGAGTGATGGTGGTAATTGATAGCCCAGCGTGGCTTGAGGGGTCGGGTGAGGAAGCCCCCGGCTCTTCCTCCCCACCCTGTGCCCGAGGTGCTGGAGAATCCCTCTGCAATCAGCATTTAATGAGGCTTTGCTCATTAGGGAAGGCGGGGCCATTCACCCAAACCTCGGACTCTCTTCAGGCATCCAGAGGGACCCCTGGGATTTTGGGAGGGTATGGAAATAGGGGGTGGTTTTAGGTTTTGTTGGTGACACTGGGGGGAAGACCCAGGTCTTGTGGCATCTCCCTGGTTCCTGGGGTCTTGTCAAGCCTCACTAAGGCTCCTGCCCTGGGTACAGCCCCTGTGAGACCCTGAAAGCAAGGAACTGGGAGAACTGGGGGGCACTGGGAGAGCTGGGGGGCGCTGGGAGAACCTTGGATCATGGGAATGGGATGCACTAGGAGTAGTGTGACACTGGGTGACACTGAGGTGGAGGCACTGGGAGCACTGGGTGGGAGGTGCGTTGGTCAGATCACCCTTGATCTCCAGGTTTGGGGACTCAGAGAGAGCACTGGAGGGACACTGGGAGAACTGGGAGGAGTATACTGGGAGGACACTGCAGGACTGGGAGGATACTGGGAGCATTGGGAAGACACTGGGGCACTGGGAGGAGGACACTGGGAGGACACTGGGAGAGCCTTGAGCACCGTGGCCACCAGGGGGCGCTGGGGCGCGGCGTACAGCGAGTCCTCCCATCCGCCAGGGGCGCTACAGCACAGAGGGGCCGCTCGTGCCGTTCTTCTCTCTCCGCCCAGCCGTAAAGCGCGATGCGCTGCCGCGAGTGGGTTGCGCTTGACGGCGGGAGCGTCGCGAAAGGCCCGTGAAGGACGGCGGCTGGCCCGTGAGGGGGGGCGGCGGTGTCGGCGGCGCGACAGCGGCCGTGTCGCGACAGGAGCGCAGCCATGCCGTTCTGGGGCCTGCAGAAGCAGCTGGGCATCGATGTGGACAGCTGGCTGGTGCGGCAGAGCATGCCGCAGCCTCACAGCCAGGCATCGATCTGTCACGCCTTCGAACGCGAGTGGGTGGAGTGCGGGCACGGACTGGGCCAGACCCGCGCCCGCCGCGAGTGCCAGCTCGAGTACGAGGATTTCATGGAGTGCATGAAGCGCACCAAGCTGGTGGGTGAACGGGGGGACACCGCGGGGCCTTGAGGGGACACAGGGGACGTGGGAAGAGTCCTGACAAAGGGGGGACACCAGGTCCGGGCTAGGGGTACTTGAGGTGCTGGGTCAGGCTGGGGAGAGGGTGCAGAGGGCCCTGGCCATGCTCTGGGGAAGGTCTGGGGGTTCCAGCCCGGGGTGGGAGCGCTGCTTGGTCATTCCCAGTGTGAGGGGGGGTCTGGCCGTGCAGCAGCCCCTTCCCCGAGGGATGTGGTGGCTGCAGGAGCCCCGAGAAGCTGTGGCTGCCCCATTCCTGGAAATGTTCCAGGCCAGGTTGGAGAAACCTGAAGAGTGGGAGGTGTCTCTGCCCATGGGGGTGGGACTGGATGGGATTTTAGTTCCCTCCCAACCAAACTATTCCATGTTTTGGGGCGGACCTTTCTCCCTGCCCTCAATGCTTCTCCAGCAGCATCCACATCCAGGACAAAATCCTGCTCAGAAAATTAGGCTGGAAAGCCAAATATCATCAGTACAGAACATCCTGAAAGCCCCAAAGTCTTTGAGAAGAGCCTCAAACTCGAGTGAGGAGCCCCAGGATGGGGTTGGTGGGGGTTCCACATCTATGGGGCTGCCAGGACCTGCCTTGGGGACCCCCTGAGGGATCTCTGAGACCCCCCCTGTGTCCCTGCCAGGCCCAACGGCTCCGGATCATCTTGGAGCAGCGGGACAAGATGATCAAACAGGGGAAGTACACACCCCCCGACTACCACATGGGCAAGGACGAGCCCAGGCCGTGATTCCCACTGGAATTCCTCTTGGAAGAAAACCCCCAGAGCACGGGGCAGGGGCCCTGCTGTGGCTGGAGGGGAACAACCTCAGGTCGAGCATCGCTTGGGCAGTAAACATCCCTTTGGAATGTCTCCTTGGCTCTGTCTTGTCTTCTTTGTTTTGGGGAAAACACCAGGTTTCCACACGGATTCAGAGTGGGAGAGGATGGATTTGGGATCTCTCCTGGCTTTTCAGCGTGTGGGAGGCAGATTTCCTCACTGGGGGCTTTGAAATCCCATATGCCAACAGGATCCATGGAGTCCCTGGCACAGCCCAGGGGGTTTGTCCTTCCCGAGGAGAGTTTTTCCTTCCATTCCCTCCAAATTCCCTCAGTTTTGGAGCAGCACTGAAGGGGGTGAATCCCTGGAAGTGGAGAGTGGCCAGCTCTGTGCTTTAATCCGGGTTTTTAATACTGCTGGTGGTGGAGTTAATGCTGGATCTTTGCTGTGAGATTCCTGATCCCAGCAAATCCCGGCTGGGATGACAAAGGCTGTGACCTCTGGGGGCAGGGGTGTGACATTCCAGGAGGGACATTCCAAACCCCTGCCCTGCCCACAGAGGGATCTGTGCTGTTCCTGGGGCTTGAATCCCATGGTGGGCAAAGGAGAGGAATCTCATGGATCCCTGATCTGGGCAGATCCTGGGATTGCTGTGCCTTTGGATAGGAGGGATCTCAGCTGGGTGCTGGTTTTGGAGGCTCTGTGCCATCCCAGGGTGTCCAAGGCAGGGATCTGAACCAGGAGAGCTCTGTTATTTCCCCTTTGAACAAAATGCACTGCAAGAAGCCCTTCCCTGGATTCCACAGGACAGCAGTGATCTGTGAGGAGCCATCTCAGCAGGGTTGGAGCTTTTCCTGGGATTTCTGCCCCTGTCCCTCAGCCCCCCCCCCGAGCTGCCTTCCCAAGCACTGCCCGAGGTTTCTCCCTCCCCCCAGGCCCAGATGGATCCATTGCTCCAGCCCAGATGGATTCCCTGTGCTCTGGCTGAGTCACAGCCGGGGCTGGAGCCACAATTCTCCCTGGCAGGGCAGGCACTGGGGGAGGGTGGCACTGGAGAGCTCCAAATTCCCAGTCTGGGTTCAAATCCTCTGATCTGTGACCCGGGACTGGCTCTTCCCTGTGTCTGCCTTTGTTTGGCACTGCTGATCCACACTCTGCCATGTGTGTTCCCTCTATTTTAGATAACTCTAGAAATAATGCCCTTTTAAATTTTTTTTTCATCAATTCTGATATTTTTCTCCTGCCCAAAGCAGGAATAACTGACCCAAGACCCTATCCTGGCTGGATCCTGGCTAATTCCTGGCTGTCCTTGCAGTAACTGATGGAGAATGATAATCCTCAGGGATTCTGGTTGCTGCTTTAAATATGAAAACTCTGGAAAACCAACATCAGGATATCAGTGCTCCATGGATCTCAGCACTCCAGCTTTAAAAGTGGGCAAGGAGGAGGGAAACACAGGGAAAATACGGGAGCCACGTGAGGAAAAGGGAATGGCTGCAGGTGGAAAGGGGGAAGCTACAGAGCTGCCAGAACAAATAAAGGATGGATAAAGAGGGAAAAATCGTGCTGGGGGTGGAAATGGAGTGGTGCCATGGAGCCATCAGAGTTATTTATCCTCAGTGATTTGTCCTGGGGGGATTTAGGGAGGAGGAGTGAGGGAGGGGGTGAGACTGTGGATGGGGGACTCACAGGAAGCACCCAGAAAATCTGAGCAGGGCTGAGCTATTCCAGGAGTTGGTTCCTCACCAAACCACACTGCAGTTCCCCAGGGTCACTCCCTGGCTTTCACCCATGGATGGAAATTTGGGAAGCAGAGCCAGCCAGGAGGTGAAATCTTCATGAGCCTTCACACTTGCAATCGCTCATTGTGGATGATGATTAATTATTGTTAATTATCCTTCCCTTTCCCAAAGAGATGTGCACTGGTGGAGGCACTGGCAATGCAGGGAAGATTTTGGGGATGACTTTTCTGGTGGAGGCTTTGCCAGTGGCATCACAACTTCCTCCCAAGCTGGATGTGAGGGCTGGTGGCACCCAGAGCCACGCAGCAGCACGGGCCAGCACTCCCAGGAATTGCTCCTTTGGGAAAAAAAAAAATCCCAGTTCTGATTAGGAAGTGTTCCTTTTCCAGAGAGAGGAGGAAAAAAAAAAAAAAAAAACCCAGGCTCAGCAAAAAGCCTGGCTGGTGTGGAGAGTGACTCATCCCATGGAGCAGTCCAGATGTCAGAGGAAATATTGGGATGCATCTGAACGCTCCTGGCTCCCGAGTGGCTCTTTAGATCCGTTCAAAATCTAATTGCTCCGGAGATCGGCGCTATCGCAGCCAAGAGCAGCCACGAGGATCCATTCGCTGGAGTTAAAAGCTCTGTCAGGAATTTCGGCCAATAAAGGGAATAATCAAAGACCTGATGAAAACTCAAATTCATGAGAGATTGAAAAAAAAAAAAAAATCTACCTCCTGGCTCTGCTGGGAGGAGAGAGAGGCCGAGGCTCTGGCTGAGCAGCAGGAATCGAAAATGGATCCGATGCTCCTGACCGAGTTCCCCTGGGCAAAGGGATTTGGAGCATCCTCAGCTCCACAGTGTGGCTCACCACGGGGCCCTGAACAGGATCCATATCCAGCCTGTAGTAGTTCCAAATTTATATTTTGCTCTTTGCCTTTTTTGTCGCTTTTTTGGCACGGTGTGATGCCACGTCCCAGCTGGGTGGGAGGCACCGGGGCTGGGATGGGGTGGGAGATCTCCGTGGGGAGCTGCTTCTGCCATGGGCACAGCCTTGGCTGGGCAGGAGCT